CCACGCCCCCAGCCCCTCACTGGGGATTCTAGGCGGGGCTCCACCCTGACCACGCCCACAGCCCCTCACTGGGTGATTCTAGGCGGGGCTCCGCCCTGACCACGCCCCCAGCCCCTCATTTGCTCCACCTGAGCCGCACCCCCCAGCCAGCACAGCTGGGTTTGAGCCCCGCTTTGTCAGACCCATGCGGTCTGTGGGTTTCCCAGACTCGCTAAATCAAAATTCTCTGGCAACTTAGGTCCCCAAAACCTGCTTCAGCGTCCACCCTCCCCCGACCAGCTCTCCTGGCTCGTGCTTGGAGGTCCGGGATGTGAAAATCTAGAGCAGGGGTCTCTGCTGGGGATACTGAGCCACGTCTGGGGTTGTGTGTGGCTGTCATACAGGGCGAGCTCCCGGCAGGGAGTCAGCGGAGGCCGTGGACGATGCCTAGAGCCCTGCAGAGCCCGCATGGCTACTGAACGCAAGTTCCTGGCCCCACACATCGGATAGCACAGACAATCTGAAATCGGTGGGGTGGGTGGGGGCACTTGGGTCTGTGCTGCTCCAGGCAAGTCGCTGGCCCTCTCTGGGGCTCAGTTTCTTTCTCTCATGAAGACTGGATTTATGTTTGTGTCTTAAGGCCCGTGCCAGGGGAGGTCAGGATGCAGTCAGCAAACATCTGCGGGGCTTCCTGGAGAGGGCGATGGATGGCGCTGAGGCCTCCCAGGTGCTGTGACTGGGCCATCCAGAAAGTGCAGACCGGGAGTGGGGGTTTGGGGGCCGGGTGCGGGTGTCGGGGGCGAGCGAGGAGGTGGTGGGGTGTGGGGGCCACTCCCAGGTTGCGTTCCCAGGACTCACAGCTGGCCCCGCCCCGCCCCCGGGAGAGAGGCCATCGGGGTGTCCCCTTTACCCTCACCCCAGCGACACCCACCGAAGGGGGTTCTTCACAAGACTCATGAGCCCCAAAGATCGTCCCAAGCCAAACGTCGGCGTGCATTTGTCATGGGGGTCCCGGGTGGCAGCCTGACTACTCAGTGGGTAAACTGAGGCCGGCCCGAAGGGGTCCGTGTGCCTCTTGGTGCTTCTCGGGGGCGTGTTTCTTTGTGCTCTCGGATCTCTGTCGGGGTGCACATGCACCCAATTTTCTCTGCCCGAGTCTCCTTCTTCCTCTCCACCTCCCCCCGACGGTTCCCGCCACGGAACCCCCTGCGCCGCCCTCGCCGAGGCGTCCGGCGTCCGGCGCGGCTCGATTCCGGAGGAATCCCCCGGCCACAGGCCACGCCCCCGCCACACCCGCCCTCCGAGGCAGAGACCTGCTGCTATTGGTCCCTTCGTACACCGCCCGTGCGCTACCATTTGCTGAGCCAGTGAGCGACTGCGGGGGCGTGGCCTGTCCCGGGTAGGGGCGTGGTTATGCGGGGGCGTGGCCTTCTACCCAGCCTCCGCTCAGATCCACCCCGCCAGCGCCTCCAGCCCCACAGAGGCGCCTGCACAAGAGTGACGGCCAGACGGATCCTGAGGAGCAGGTGAGCGATCGGGGTCCCACACCCGCCCATCCTGGGTCCTTCCCGCCCCCTCCTCTCCCCACATCGCCCTGTGTGCATCCCGGCCTCAGTTTCCCTCTATGCCTGTGCCTGGCTGTGTGAGCAGGTTGCTGTGGGCTGCGGTAATGGTCCTAGCATCCGCCCTCAAGGGGGACTTGATGGCCCTGGCCCTGTACAGCTGTGCAGCCTGACTCCAAAATGGTCTGGGTATTCCCGGCGGTGGCTGGCTGGACCCCACTGTGGCTCTGGCTGGTACAGGGACCCCACCTGAGCCCTGTCATCCAGACTGGGAACTTTCCATCGCCCTGAGGGCTTGGACTCGGTTTTACCAGCTGGGAACTGGGACAGTCCCCCCACATAATTGGCAGGTGACCTGACCCAGGTCTGTGGCCTCCTGGCTCTTTCAGTGGTGGCCTGGGGGGTAAACTGAGGCCCAGAAAGTAGCCTGTGGTTGGCCAAGGAGGTGGAGACAGAGGGAACCAGAATGTGGACAGGGTGAGGGTCGAGCTGTACACACCTCCTGGGTCACTTCCCCAGCTCGAGGCTGTGGAGCCTGTGGAAACCTCCCTTGGGGTCAGGACATGGCTCACACAAGCCTGACTCCCTTGAACAAGTAACTTAATTATAAGCCTCAGTTTCCCCGTCTGTGACTTGGGATGGTTGTTTCCGGACTCCCTGGGGCTAGAGGCTTCTGGGAGGATTGAAAGCAAAGACAAAACACCAGAGGCAGAGCCAGGGTGGGCTATACAGGCGGCCATGTCTAAAACAAAGTGGAGGCTGGGGTGTAGTCCGGTGGGTAGAGTGCTCGCCTATCAGTCCGGAGGCCCTGGGTTCCAGCCCCATTGCCACAGAAACCAGGGGTCGGGGTGTGTGGCTTTCATCCCAGTGCTTGAAACAGAGGCAGGTGGATGTCTGTGAGTTCCAGGCCAGTCATGACTATACAGTGAGATCCGTGTCAAACAATAACCAAAGAAGAAAGAAAGGAAAACAGGAATGTGGCCTTTGTGTGCCAAACTTCCTGTTTTTCTGTCCTGGGACTTCAGCGTGGCTGCCCCGTACCCACGTGGAATGTCCAGCCTCAGGACCTTTGCACATGCCCTCTACGGCCACGGCTGAGCCACACAGGCGCCAACTTTGAAACATAACAAGTTCACGATCTGGGCCGCACCTGGGACGTGGGTGGCTGGGAGGGACGGGGCGGGGCCGTGGGGACTATAGTGTGTCAGAACAAAGAACGCTGGCCCTGAACACCTGCGCTGGGCCAGGCCTGGGAGTCCTGGGATGCATGGCTGGCGGGTCCTGAGGTGCAGGGACATGAGACACTTGTTTCTCAGTTTACCCTCTGAGCCCCGGGTAAGCTAGGACCCAGACCACAAAAGTCTGTTTACTGACTCGGGCTGAGGGGGACTCAGCATAGCTCCAGTCGTGGCCCCAGGGGGACAGGCCGCCTGCCGAGTCAGGTGCCACCCAGGGCTTACCGGAGATTTAAGGAGGGTGAGGGTTGGTCCAGGGACCCAGCACCCCCACTCTCCTAGCACCCCAGCATCGCCCCACTGCAAGGTCGCTCTGAGTCCCTGAGCCTCTGTTTCCCCATCTGGAAAGTGGCTGAGGCCATCAAGGACGCTCCAGAGGGTGTCCTGTGGGCTGGAGGTGTCTGCAGCCCTGACCAAAGGCCGATCAAAGGTACCGTGGAAGGGCACACAGCTTCTGGAAGATTCCCAGACTGCATCAGTAGGCTCCTCCAGTTTTGGAGTGAGTGGGGGAGGGGGGAGGGAGGAGGCTGCAGTGAGATGAACTCCTTGTTAGGGGCTGGATTCATATCCCAGTTCTGATTTAGTGTTGCTCCGTGACTGTCTGTCAGTTCCCCGGCCACGGCCTCAGTTTCTCCTTTTGCCATAACCATGAGAGGTTCCTTAGTCATTTGATAAACAGTTCCTGAACACTGAGGGAAGTCAAGTGTCAAGTATGGTGCCTCATGGAAGACAGCAGCGAGCAAAGCTGGCCGGGTGCCCACCCTCTCCTGCCTCACACTTGAGAGAGATGGACTCTGTCCTGAGTTACAACTGCAACCATAGACGAGAAAGGGACGGGAGATCTGGGTGTTCCTGGAGAGGGGGGATCAGCCACATAGCACCTGGGGTAAGAGTCTTGTAAGTAGGGGCTCAGCGTGTGCAAAGGCCCTGGGGCAGGATGGAGTCTGGTGTGCCATGTGCAGGAGGAGCGTGAAGGAGTCTGTGGCTGGAGCAGAGGGAGAAGGGAGGTCTCAGGACGTGCGCTCCAACAGGGTGGGACGTGGGAGCGTGGAGGCTATAGGCAGCGAGACAGAACGGACTCGGTGCCCACAGGGGCCTCTGGCGTGTCAGGGACCCCGGCGAGGGTGAGAGGAAGCAGAAGGAAGCCGTGGAGTGCCGAGAACGGAGGGAGCTGGTACATCCCGGGGCTGAGTGCACACACCCATGACCTGCACTCACCTTCTTGTTAAAACCTCGAGTGGATGCTGGGTGTGGTGGGCCGTACCTAGGAAGCTGAGGCAGGAGGATGACGGTAAATCCGAAGCTAGCCTGGGCTACAGAGTGAGACCCTATCTCAAACTCCGTCCCTAAAGAGGCCATGTGTGGGAGCTGAATCAGAGATCCATGCCCCCTGTGGCTCTGTGACAGCCTCTTAAAAATATATTAATTTATTCCTTTCCATGCACATGGAGCAGACAGCTGGCCCCCCTTCCACCGAGGGGGTCCAGGGCTCGAACTCGGGGTTGTCTGACTTGACAGCAAGCACCTTCAACCCGCTGAGCCACATTTCCGGCCCCTCAAAAACTCGCTTCTTCAGTACGCGTCCATCTTGCCTCCCAGCCCTCCCCACCCATTCTCGGGGCAGCATCATCGTGGGGACCCTGTTGAGAACCCCCAGTGCCTTCCCCCCCAGAGGAACCTCCTCCTCCCTGATTTCTCAGAAGGCCAATGGCGGGGTTGGGGGCGAGGGGGTGAGTCGCAGTCCTGGGGTTAAGGGTGCTGTTTGCAGGCAGAGTCCCCAGCAGGGGACTGCATTGGGACAGAGACTTTCGGGGCCCTGGGTGACAGGGGGCCTTGGCCCAGCCACCCCTGGGACAGTCAGCCAGGGAGGAGAGGGAGGATGGCGGGCTTGGCGACATCAATTATGGATGTGCTGCGTGTGGGACATAAAGAATTCATGAGGCCGGGGGCTGCCCAGAGGCGGGCGGCAGCTTCGGCCTCACGAGAGCTACTGCTGGGTTTCGGGAATTTTGCCATCTGGTTGTTAAACCCAGATTAAAAGTCAAGGAGTGAGTGCTTCCAGCTAAGTAAATCGTGTTATATTTATTATTTATTACATTTATTTACTGTGGGTTGGAGGCCAGGGGATGACTTGTGGGAGTCGGCTCTCTCCCCACTGTGTGGGTCTCAGGATCGAACGCAGTTTGTAGGACTTGGCAGCAAGCACCTTCATCCACGGCCACATCAACAGAATGTAAAGCGTGTCATAAAGAAAAAGCTGTCAGGGGGTCGCACAGGTCTGTCAGCCGAGCTGGGGACGTGTAGGCAGGAGGATCAGGAGTTCAAGGTCAGCTTTATATATAGTGTGTGTGGGGGGGGGCAGCCTGTGCTATACAAAACATAAGCTAGGCGGTGGTGGCACACGCCTTTAATCCCAGCACTTGGGAGAGGCAGAGGCAGGTGGATCTCTGTGAGTTCGAGGCTAGCCTGGGCTACAGAGTGAGTTCCAGGACAAGCTCCAAAGCTACACAGAGAAGCCCTTTCTCGAAAACCAAGATAAGTAAATATGTGTGTGTGTGTGTGTGTGTGTGTGTGTGTGTGTGTGTGTGTGCACTTTATGGCATGCGAATGCTGTTTCAATGAAGCTATTAAAATGCAAAGGTTAGGTAGGGTGTGATGGCGCACGCCTTTAATCCCAGTACTCATGAGACAGAGGCAGGGGGATCTCTGTGAGTTCGTGGCCAGCCTGGGGTACATAGACAGACCCTGTCTCAAAACAAAACAAGGAGTGGGGGAGAAATAAAACCAAAAGAAAAACAAAAAAGCAAATGTCAGGGCTAAGGGTGACGCTCAGGTAAAGTGTTTGCTGTCCAAGCGTGAGGACCTGAGTTCGAGCCTCCAGAATCCCACACAAAAAACAGGACTGAGAAGGTGCAACTGTACTCTCGCGATATGGATGTGGACAGGAGCGTCCCTGGGACTTGGTGGCCAGGGCTTGGTGGCCAGGGCTGGGTGCAGGGCTGGATTCAGGGCTGGGTGCAGGGCTGGGTGCAGGGATGGGTGCAGGGCTGGGTGGTCAGGGCTGGGTGGCCAGGGCTGGGTGGCCAGGGCTGGGGCCAGGGCTGGGGCCAGGGCTGGGTGGCCAGGGCTGGGTGCAGGGTGACTGAGGAACACACGGGTGTCGATCTTGGCCTCCACATGTGCAGCAGAGGTGGAAGCAGGGGTCCTTAGTCCCCAGCACCGAGAATGGTGGCCACCAGCACAGACACCCCATGGCCCGACTGTGGCCTGTGCCCGAGTTTGTCTTCTCTCTCCTGAGTCTTAGAAACAGCGCAGGAGCCTCCCAGCTTCACATGTCTAGTGTGGCTGTGGTGGCCTCAAGGATCCCACAAGGATCCTCAGACTTCTGCAGAAGCCTGGACTTCGTTACTGTGTGGCCAACTGTGGCCATGGTAGAGACAGAGCCTGGGGACTGACCACCAGGCTATAGTATCAGCTCTGCCAAGACCCAAGGGCCCAGCCACCTGCATCCACCTCTGGGTGTGCAAATGAGCGCATGTGGAGTGTGACAGAAAGATTTCATTTACAAAATCAAGACGGAGGCGCGAGCAAGTCGGGGTTATGAGCAGGGGGGGGGGGGCAGGGAGGGCGTCTCCTAGCATTTGCAATCACTTCAGAAAGCAATGAAGGCGTTTTATTTGGGGTATGGGATGTCACTGTGTGTAGCCCAGGGTGTCCTGGAACTCCATCTGTAGCCCAGGCTGGCCTCCACCTCACAGACATCCTCCTTTTGGGGTGGGAAGGGCCCAGCTCACTGTCTCTCCCACTGCCCGGCCTCAGGGTGGCCATCTTGGGAACCAGAGGGCATCCAAGAGGTTCTGAAGTTGGGGTGTGTGTGGTACCTGCGGGCGAATATCAGAAAGGGCAGCACAGGTCACATTTGTTTGTTGATTGAAATTTGATGTGACAGGAAATATTTTGTGAGGCCCAGAGGGTTCTGTGGTGCACACTGTGGTCCCGAGGGTCATCCTGGCATGGCCCTCTGTGTGCATCTGTGGAGAATGGAGTTCAGCTGTCCCCAGACATCCTCACCCTGTCCTCTGAGGCAGGGTTTCACTGAATCTGGGGCTATGTGAGGGCCAGCGAGCCAGGGATCCCCAGTTCGGGGTTACAGTGTGGTCATCCCTCCTAGGTTTTTTTGTTTGTTTGTTTGTTTTTGTTTTTTTTTCTGAGACAGAGTTTCTCTGTGTAGCCCCAGCTGTCCTGGATCTCACTCTGTAGCCCAGGCTGGCCTCAAACTCATAGAGACTCACCTACCACTGCCTCCTGAGTGCTGGGATTAAAGGCGTGCACACCACTGCTCGGCTTTCCCCACTGGCTTTCCTGCGGGGACTTGAACTCAGGTCTGCATGTTTTCAGCAAGACTTTACGCACTCGGCCACTTGGACACTTGACCGAGGCCCCAAGACTACCAAGGTTCCTGGGAAGTGACGGTGCTCCGTGCCCACTCGCAGGCTTCCTGGACTGTGCTTGGGTGGGCTGAGGGGACAGGGGACAACGATGATGACCACACATGTGTGTCACCCCGGTTTGAACCTCCGGTCACTGGGACCCGCATGTCTTTGCACATCTCTCTCTCCAGAGTTCTTCACTTAGCATTCAGGAATTCGTCATTGCGTACACATTTACTGGGCACCAGCTGTATGCCTTAGTGGGGTGTGCCCTGCAGACCCCACCCTCCCAGCCTCTCCCCTCCTTTCTCCTGCACCCACAGACTGGAACTGTGTCACCCACCTCCAGCACCGCACATGCCCATCATCCCAGCACTCAGGAAGCGGAGGCAGGGGGATTGGGAGTTCACAGCTACAGTGGGCTTCGGGTCATCTGGACTCAAAAAGCAAAACCAGAGGACAAGCAACGAAAAAACTGGGGGAAAAGAAAACTCAGGAAGTGGGTCAAGGAGGCACTCCGGAGCCTGGACCTTTGTGCTCAGAAAGGCCTCTCGGAAGCCACAACCGCCATGCAAAGGCCCTGTGGCTCGGCCTTGTTGCAGGGGCTGCGATTGATCACAGAGTTCAGAGCCAGCCACTGGGCCACACCTGTGCCCACCGAAGCCAACCTTGTGTAAGTCAAGGTCCCCTGAGGTGGCCTAAAGCTCAAGGGAACATCCGGGGCTGTTGTGGTTTCTGGGAGCTGCAGTGATTGACGGGGTTCAGAGTACAAAACTCAAGTAGGGTTTGGCAGCAGATGAAAAGTCTAAGGTGGGCCGGGTGGTGGCGCACGCCTTTAACCCCAGCACTTGGGGGGTGGAGGCAGGTGGCTCTCTGTGAGTTTGAGGCCAGCCTGGTCTATGAGTAATGAGACCTTGTCTCAAACAAAACAAAAACTTAAAGAACCCGCCAGGTCTAAGATGTGGCCCAGGGCCCAGGAGAGGATGTGGGGCTCTGATTCTGCACTTGGGACTGTTGTCCCCACAGGGTGAGGAGCTGTGGTGGCCTGGATGGGCCCCAGGCCAGTGTGGCCCTGCCCTGGGGCCTTTGCACAAGCACCTCCCACTACTGTCCCCTCTCCGACCTGCCCCTCCTGTCCTGGGGTCTGCGACCTCGCTCTGGCCTTCCCTCCCTCCGACCTGCCCCTCCTGTCCTGGGGTCTGCGACCTCGCTCTGTCCTTTCCTCCCTCCGACCTGCCCCTCCTGTCCTGGGGTCTGCGACCTCGCTCTGGCCTTTCCTCCCTCCGACCTGCCCCTCCTGTCCTCGCTCTGTCCTTTCTTCCCTCCGACCTGTCCCTCCTGTCCTGGGGTCTGCGACCTCGCTCTGGCCTTTCCTCCCTCCGACCTGCCCCTCCTGTCCTGGGGTCTGTGACCTCGCTCTGGCCTTTCTTCCCTCCAGGTCCAATCTTTGCTTTTTCCTCCCTGTTTATTGAGTCCTGGGGTTCCCTCCTCCCCCTGGTTCACGAGACCTCTTCAGGGTGACTTCCAGCCAGACACAGTCGGTGCATGCCTGTCATCTCATGGTGGGGAGGCTGAGGCAGGAGGATTAGGAGTCAAAGGCCAGGCTGGGTGACATGAGACCCAGCCTGGAAAAAGAAAAAAAAAACAAAAATACATTAAAAAAATGAATTAAGGGACGGAGGGGGTAACGTGGCCTGTGAATTCAACTCCGGTCTCAAGCTGGTCCCCAAATCATGTTATAACCAGAAGATGGCAGAACTGGGGTGCTGGGAGGCGACTGGAGGCAGGGCAAGGTCTCTTTGGGTCACTTCGTGCCCCTGGTGTTGGGTACACAGCTGGTGCTTCATAAATACCCATTAGGCAGGTGAGTGACGGAATGAGTGTTGTACTGAGTTCTCCCGAGTTTGACTGGGTACTGTGGCACTGGATGGGCAGGGACCAAGGCCACAGCACCTCGTCCCTGGGAAAGTCCCTGCCCTGAAGGCCTCACGTGGCCGCACACAGGCCCCTTAGGCAGGAAGGCCTGTCCCCTGGGATGGCAGCCATCCTGGTCTGTCAGGACAATGGGTTTCAGAACAGGAAGTGGAGGCCAGCAGCTGGCTGCCCCAGGTGGAGCGCCCCCCCCCCCCAGTCTTCCGGAAGTCCGTCCACACTCTCAGCTTCACTCCTGAGCCACAGTCCAAATTTGGCTTTGTCCATGGGGAAAAGCAAGGCCCAGAGAGGGTCAGCACCCCCTTGGCATCACACAGCCCCCAAGCCAACGGGAACTCCAGACTTTGTCTCTCCGTGAGCCCCGCTTTGTTGAGTGTCAATTAGGAAACAGCCCCCGGGTGGTGGGGAGGTCCCTCCAGCCCGGTCTGCACAAAAAGCTTCCTTCTTTCTTCCTTCTCTGTTTTTCCGAGAGGGTTATGTAGGTCCTGCTCCCTGTGTAGCTGAGGCTGACCTTGAACTTCTGATCCTCCTGCCTCCACCTCCGAGCGCTGAGGTGGCAGGTGTGCCACGTCTGGAGCATGTGGCGCCCTCAGACACCAGGGGGGAGGCTGGGGCACTCAGTTGTGGGGCCACTGGGGCCAAGCGTCCTCTCCTGCTGCCTGGCCCCGGGTACGGGGACTTGGAGGGGACAGATCCCACCATTGTGCATTCATCCCGCCCGGGCTGTGCTCTTGGCAGAATGGCGTTGGCCGAAGTGCACGGGTTCACATGGCGGGCGGGCGCTCTGTGTCAACAGCCGGGTCCCGGCCCTGCCCGGTGGACGGCGGGGGTGGTGATCGCTGGGGGCAGGGAAGCCAGGGAGCCAGCCTTGACCGCTAAGGCCAAGGAGAGGCTGGAGAGCGCGGGGTCTGCCCGGGGTCTGGGCTCACACAAAGGCAGGCTTTATAGGGGACCTGGGGGTGAGCGGGCTGGGTGGGCGGTGCGGCTGACCAGGGCCTGGGGCGAGAACCGAGGCCCGAGGGCCAGGTCTCAACTCGGCCTCTGTGTCCCTTGGCTTTTCCGGGTTTGTGCACTCCCAGAGGGGCCAGGGGTCCCCGAGAACACAGCAGAGGAGGGGTCGAGCCCCGACTTCCCTCTGTGGTGTGAGGGGGCAGGAGGTTGCAGCCATGTAGCTCTGTATGGCTCGGAGGGAGTACCGCACGGGAGAGTCGGGGGTTCTGGGCACTGGGAGGTGTGTAGGAGTTTGTTAAGGAAGAGGCAAGGGTTTGGGGATAGGGCTTTGAGGGATGTGTAGGAGTTTATTAGGAAAGAGGCGTGAGAACTCTCAGTGGTTTTGAGTACTGCTTGAACTGCTTGAAGCAGCTAGTGAGACAGAAGGCCGTGGCTGCTCCATGAGGCCAGCCCGCTTGTCCTCTGGGCCACTTGCCGTTCTTACATCGATGGCAGCCCTCAACTCCCAGCCGGGAAACAGCCTGCTGGCTGGCAGGGAGTAGGGATGGTGCTGAGCCCCGCCCGGATTTTACCATTCCACGTGCATTGCTTTGACCTGAACACCGCGTCTGTCGCCCCCACAGGGCCCATGGACACCTTCAGCACGAAGAGCCTGGCCCTGCAGGCCCAGAAGAAAGTCCTCAGCAAGATGGCCTCCAAGGCCATGGTGGCGGTGTTCGCGGACGACACCAGCAGCGAGATCCTGGACGAACTGTACCAGGCCACCAAGGAGTTCACGCGCAGCCGGAAGGAGGCGCAGCGGGTGGTGAAGAACCTGGTGAAGGTGGCGGTGAAGCTGGCCGTGCTGCTGCGGGCCGGTCAGCTGGACGGCGACGAGCTGGCGCAGCTGCGGCGCTTCCGGGCCCGGGCGCGCAGCCTGGCCATGACCGCGCTCAGCTTCCACCAGGTGGACTTCACCTTCGACCGGCGCGTGCTGGCCGCGGGGCTGCTGGAGTGCAGGGACCTGCTGCACCAGGCCACCGGCCCGCACCTCACCGCCAAGTCCCACGGCCGCATCAACCACGTCTTCGGCCACTTTGCCAACGGCGACTTCCTGGCCGCGCTGTACGGCCCCGCGGAGCCCTACCGGGGCCACCTGCGCCGCATCTGCGACGGCCTTGGGAGGATGCTGGACGAGGGCGGCATCTGACCTGGCCTGGGGAGCGTCGCCCGTCCCCACTTCTGCTCCTCTTTTCGACTTCTGAGACGCTGTCATGTAGCCCAGGCTGACCCCAAACTCTCCGTGTAGCCGAGGCTGGCCTTGAACTCCCGCCGCTGCTCCTGCTGACGCCTCCCGAGTGCTGGGGTGACGGGTGTGCTCCACCACCTCACTGTTGGGCGCTCTCATTATTTCAGACAAGGTCGTGGAGGATGGGGAGTAAAGAACTGTACTCCCCGAGCCCTGGCCCCTGCCAAATGTCTCTGTCCATTCCCTGGCTCTCAGGGCCTCCCAAGGTGACTCCTTTATCAGTGGAGTTCAAGCCCTGGCACCAGACCAGCGTGGACGCGGCCCCAGCCTGCCACGTGGGCTGGGACGCGTTGGGATCTGGAAGGGACCCCGTCTGGAGACTGCGCCCTGGCATCTCAGAAAGGGAGGTGTCTTAGCGTGTTGGGGCACTCGTCGCCAAGCCTGATGACTGGGGTTTGATCCCCAAACCCACACAGTGGAAGCCGAGAACTAGTTCTGGCAAGTTGGCCTCTGACCTCCACGTGGCCCGCCCACGTGACCACGCAGCAAGGCGCCACTGATCTGGTGGGAAAGCTGGAGTCCTCACTGGGAGGGAGGAGCCTGGGGACCTCAGAGGCTGTCCCCAGGTTCAGCAGGGCAGAGCCATTGGAGGCAGTGTCTGTGTTAAATTATAATGCTGCATTTGGGAAACAAACCCATCTTTTCTCTTTGTATGGCGGCCGGGGCTTGTAACCAACATTGACCGCACATGCGGGGAGCATGACGTCACACCTGGCTTAACCTTATGGTCACTATGAGAACTCTTATCCTTGGAAAAGTGGGGAGGCTTCAGCGACCTTTGTGTACAGAAAGGGGCTGGGGGCGTGGTCAGGGTGGAGCCCCGCCTAGAATCCCCAGTGAGGGGCTGGGGGCGTGGTCAGGGTGGAGCCCCGCCTAGAATCCCCAGTGAGGGGCTGGGGGCGTGGCTCAGGGTGGAGCCCCTGCCTAGAATCCCCAGTGAGGGGCTGGGGGCGTGGTCAGGGTGGAGCCCCACCCAGAATCCCCAGTGAGGGGCTGGGGGCGTGGTCAGACTGGCAGCACACAGTGGGGAAGACCCTGAAACCAGCCAAGGCCCGGCTGCACATCGCACATCGCGGCCGACACAGCGGTTGTGCAATGCTGGGGGTGGGAAGGTTATCTGGGGTGTTGGGGAGGACACAGAACATCAGAGCTGCGTGTATTTGGGGCAAAGTTTACACCCTGTAGCCTGTGGGGCCTGGGGAGTAACAGGCTTTATCAGTGTTTCAGAGTATGCAGCCAGCAGCCAGCACTTACACAGAAGATCCTACCAGCAGCTATAGATTATCTGTTTTAAAAACAGTATCTTATCCTGTAGCCTGGAATTCATAATCCTCCTGCCTCAGCATCCCAGCCTGAGCCCCACACTGCCCGGCTGCAGTCATGGCTCTGGTCAGCTCCTTGAAGGCCTTCTGGACATTCCAGTTCCACAGGGGAACTTGTCTCACTTTAGGCCCTGGGCCAGATCTTAAACTGGGACACCAATGTGCACGCTGCTGTCCCCAGATGGAACCCTCACGCTGACCACATGGACCAATGAGGGGAGTAAAACTGTCTGGGGGCGGTGCCCACACGGGTGAGACGAGGAAGGGACGAGGGACACGCGAGGGACACGTCACTTTATTACTGTGTGTGTCACTGGGCTTGTGTGTGCTCAACAGAGGCGCTGCCATCAGCCCAGCCTCGTTTCCTTTTCAGGTTTAGTTTCTCGGGTGCCTGGACTTCACAATCCTCCTGCCTCAGCTGCTTGAATGCTTAGGATCACAGGCCTATGCTTCCAGGCCTGGGATAGAAGAATATTTAAAGCTGCTATGGGGCTGGCGACATGGGTCAGAGGGCAGGGAAGCTTGCGGCCAAGCCTGCCGTGCGGTCTGTCTGTCTATGCAGCCTGCCGTGCGGTCTGTCTGTCTATGCAGCCTGCCGTGCGGTCTGTCTGTCTATGCAGCCTGCC